ACACCCTTTGTTGGTACCCTTTTTTCAGAGCACATCTCCCACTGCAGTGGGGGCTATGTAATAACTTGAGGAGAAATGAGAAAATGACCCCTCAGATCATGTTCTGTTGTTGAGGAACCCCAGATGAGAAAGACTATGAAGGGCGACAAATGGACCTTCCCACAATTATCAATCCTATCCCTACCTTGATTCTTGGCTATCCCTTGATTCCAAAATGCATATTTTGTAGAAAGAAATGCATTTTCTTTAATAAAAATATATTCAGCCAGACATAGTGATGCACACCTGCGGTCCCAGTTACTTGAGAGGCTGAGAGGGGAGGACTGCTTGAACCCAGGAGTTCAAGGCCAGCCTGAGCAACATAGCAAGACCTCATCTCTAAAAAAAAGGCTGAGTTCGGTGGGTCAGCCCATAATCCCAGCACTTTAGGAGAGCGAGGCAACTGGATTGCCTGAGCCCACAGGCTCAAGACCATTCCAGGCAACTTGGTGAGACTTCATCTCTACAGTAAATCAAAAATTCAAAACTTAGCCAGGCATGGTAGTATGCGCCTGTGGTTCCAGCTACTTGGAAGGCTGAGGCGGAAGGATTGCCAGAACCCAGCAGGTCAACGCTGGGGTGGCCATGAGTATACCACTGTCCTCCAACCTGGGCGACAGAGTAAAACTCCAACTCAAAAAAAAAAAAAAAAAAGGCAATGAAAGAGGGGTGTATTAGTTAATTGCCACAAACTTGGTATTTTAAAACCACAGAAATGTAGTCCCTCACAGTTCTAGAGTTTTAGAGTCTAAACTCAAGATTCCAGCAGGGCTATCATACTCCCTCCAAAGGCTCTAGAAGAGCAACCTTCCTTGCTTCTTCCATCATCTGACAGTTCCTGGTGTTCCTTATGTCCGGTCTCTGCCTTCATCTTTACATGACTTTCATCCTTGTGTCTTGTCTCCAATCTCTCCTTTCTCTCATTAGGATACCAGACATTGGATATAGGCCCCACCTAAATCCAGAATGATCTCACCTTGAGATTATTAATTTAATTATATCTACAAAGACCTTATTTTGAATGAGGTCACATTCATAGGTACGGGGGATTAGAATTTGGATTTATCTTTTTGGGGGGGGGTCAAATGGGTAAGAATAAAAATAAGAACCCTGATAGCTGTCTTTCTGCCTCTTCCCCAAGCCATACCTAAGCTGATCAGCAGATTGATTGCAGCCTTCATTTCCATGCATTTCTTCATATAAATTAAGATCCTCACCCCAAATCAAGAGGAGGGAGAAGGCCATGTAACTCCACCAGCCGTCTTTCTTTCCGTGACAGCTGTATTTTTTTCTATTGGCTAGCAGTTATCGCTAAATAATAAAGCATAGCCCAAAATAAACATGTTTGTTATCCTTTAGTCTTCAAAGATATTCTCAGGGTCTAGCACGTTTAAGATGAAAATGAATATTTAGATTTAGAAATTATTTTATGCATATGTGTGCTCACACATACCATGGAAAATGACTAGAAGCAATTGTCTCCGTAGAGTGAGATAGAACATGAGTACTTTTACTGTTTTTATTTTTTAGTCTCAAGCCAGGCTCGGTGGCTCAGCCTGTAATCCCGCGCCTTTGGGAAGCTGAGGTGAGTGGATTGCCTGAGCCTGCGGGTTCGAGACCCACCTGGGCAGTGAGACCTCATCTCTACAGTAAATCAAAAAATCAGCCAGGCGTGGTAGCACATGCCTGTAATTCCGGCTACTTGGAAAGCTGAGGTGGAAGGATCGCCGGAGCCCAGCAGGCGAGGCTGCGGTGGCCGGGAGCGGCCACTGCACTCCAGTCTGGGCGACAGAGTGAGACTCCAACTCAAAAAAAAAAAAGAATAAAAAAAATATTTTTTAGTCTCATCTAAATTTTTCGGAGTAAGCATGTTTCATTTTTGTGATTAGAACCAGAAACACGTTTAAAGCATGGATAGTTTTAACGATGTCTTTATAAATTTCCCAGGACAATTTGTATTTTCTTAAAAGCAAGATGGGCCAATTGGGATTCTAGAAGAGACCACTGATTGTTTTGTGTACAATTCAGACACCATTTAGGTTTTGGAGTGGTGTTAACATTGTTAATTATTCAGGACCTCATCAGACTTTCACTGCAGTAGAAATTAAAATCCACGGTCTCCTCTGGGTGGCTTCCCCAAGTGCCTAGAGGGAACATGGGCCCTCTCCCTTTGCCATGTGGCATAATGAGGCCTCAACACTCACAGCAACTTGGTTCGTTAAGGATAATTCCAGAATGAGCCTTGTAATCTCTCACCAGTAATATTAACTGGCTTTGACAGTAATGTGTTTTCTTATTCTTTAGTCTACAAGGGGGAACCCAAAAAACTCAGAATTTATTTATAAAAAGTTGCGTATTCTTACATGTTTAAACTTTAGTCACCTTCAGAGTCCTCTCCATATGATGCAATACACTTATTGAGATGCTTTTTTCCACAGCTCAAAACAGTTTTTGAACTTATTGATTTTGTTGCATTTTAGTGCTTCTGCTGTTTTTTGTTTTCCTTCTTCCACATCAGCAAATCATTTCCCTTTGAGGACTTTTTTCACCCAGGGAAACAACCTCACTGGGGGTGAGAGGGCGTGAATAGGGAGAATGGGGCATGGGGGAGGGCGTCATGCCATTTTTGGTCAAAAACTTCTGAATACTCAGCAAGGTGTGAGCAGGTGCGCTTATAAATCACCCATCATGAAATGGGCAAATGCATTGAAAGAATCTTCAAAAAAATTCACTGAGGCAATATGCAGCCTCTCACAACAACACTAGTTGGTATACATACGCAAATGGTTTCTAGAACGCTTATGTAGCAGGGGAAGCCTGTACTATAAGGGGCCTACCCTCCAAAATGTAATTTTGGTTTTTTGGGGTGCCCCTCACCATTTTGAGGTCAGCCCTGTGTCTGGCGTGCCCTGAGGATGGCACCCGTTCCCTTTGACCCACAGTCCATGGAACCTGCAGCGAAACATTTAGACACTTTTGAGCCATTCCACTATTGAATACAATTTGCTTCAAGGGAATTTTCTGATTTTGGCTGCTAATATGTTGATGAATTATTGAAATTTCAATTACTTTTGGTTCCCAAGTTAGCAGAAGGAAGATATCCTAGACATTTAAAATGAAAAACTTTCCAGTAGCTTTTAGAAATGGGCTGTGTGCCTGTTCTCTGTCCTTGTCTAGAGGGCTTTTGGTCGCAGGGCTGGCACGGGTGTAGCACTCTTCCTGTCTATAGGATTAAAGTGATTCACTGCCTGAGGAAGTCCCTTATGTTGGTGCTGTTCAAGGCGTGATTCCCTGACTGGCAGCATCAGCATCTTTTGGGAGCTTATAAGCTGTGCAGATCTAGACCTACTAATTCAGAGTCCATGGGGGTAAGGGCCCTGGAATCTGTGTTTTATTTATTTTTTAAAAACCAATTTTTTGGGGTAGAGATGAGGGCTCACTATGTTGCACAGATTGGTCTCGAGCTCCTGGCCTCAAGTAATCTTTCTGCCTTGGTCTCCCATAGAGCCTGGATTACAGGTGTGAGCCAGTGCATCCTGTGGAATCTGTGTTTTAATGAGCCCTCCAGAACATTCTAATATACCATTATGTTTGGAAAGCTCTGCCTTAAATGTTCTAGTGTTAATTCTTCCAGGTAGCGTCTGGTACCGTTTTGCAAGGGTTGTTGGGTACCGTAATCCAGAGGTCCTCAACCCCTGGGCCGTGGACCAGTACTGATCCATGGCCTGTTAGGAACTGGGCTGCACAGCAGAAGATAAGCAGCAGGTGAACGTAGCTCTGCCTTCTGTTAGATCAGCGGGAGCATTAGGTTCTCATAGGAGCACGAACCCTGTTGTGAACTGCTCATGCAAGGTATCAAGGTTGTGCGTTCCTTATGAGAATCTAATGTCTGATGATCCACCCTCTTGCCTCCTGTGGAAAAATTGTCTTCCACAAAACCATTCCCTGATGCCAAAAAGGCTGAAGACCGCTGCTAAAGTCAGTTTGCCCTTTTAGATAAACATCGTTCCCTGATGATAAAACTGATCCAAGGTTATCAGAAAGACCAATTTTTAGCAACTTGATACTTAGAATAGTTCTCTCTTTGGAACTCACTTAAAGAAGCAGGTCTTGGATATTTAAATTCTGTGCAGGTAAATATATGTTTTAAATGTAATTCAAGGAGCCCTGTGCTTTTTTTTTTTTTTTTTTATATGAGAGGACTATTTACATATTCCTTCCCACTGTCCCAGGTATACTTCCTTCTTTCAGTCACTTGAGGAAAAGCTGCTGCTATGTCTTCCTCTTAGGGTCACCTTCCTCCCAAGGCAGACATGTCTCCTAAACCACGAAGACTGAATAATTTGTAGTTCTTCAAACACAACATGTCATCCTAAGGCTGTGTCCTTGTACAAGCTGTTCTTCCACTCCCAACCGTCCTCCCACGAAAGCCAGCCCCAGCTTGTTCCCCTTAAGACCACTCAGGCACACTGCCTTCGTTAAGCTTTCTGTGGGTGACCTTAGGTGGAGTCACATTATTCCCCTTCCTGCTTTCTGTAGCACTCGAGATAGATATTTATAGCATTCAAGTGTACGCGTGCTGAAATTATTTGTTTCTCTTGCCCTCTGGGCTCTGAGTTCTCTGAGAGTGGTGATTTCATCCCGGATCCTCAGTCTGCGGTGCCCAACATGGAGTCAGGCACTTGGGGCTGAATGAGTAACCATTTCTAAAGATGGTCATCCCTCCTCTGCTAGAAGCTTCCAGCCTTAGGTAACATTCACTTCGTGCATGTAAAGATTAGATGATGGTCTGTGGCAGGTCAGTTAAGAATACAGTGAATTTTATGTGGACTCAGTCAATCTTGCTTTTCAGTGGAGCTGATCCCTTCATGTAAACAAAAGCGCCACCATCCACCCATCTGGCTCCTTTGTTCTTTGGCTAAGGAAACCACCAACTATGTCTAAAAGCATTATGATTTCAGGTCCGAGAGCTGCAAACTCGACTACAGAGCGTGCAGGCCACAGGTCCCTCCAGCCCTGGCCGCCTGACCTCCACCAACCGCCCGATTAACCCCAGCACTGGAGAACTGAGCACCAGCAGCAGCAGTAATGACATTCCCATCGCCAAGGTAAGCTCCTGGGGAAGGACAGGATGGGCGGGAACACCTCCTGTTATCTGGAGGCACCAGCCTTCCCTAACCTCTGTGCAGGAATGCCCTTAGCTCAGAAGGCCCGAGGGGCTTCCCCTGGGACCTCACGCGTCCTACGCTGGAGCTGCAGGGAGAGACAACCCACTAATAGTTTTAAGTCTCTCTCAGCAGCAACCTGGATGCCAGCTCTCATTAATCAGCCAGCTGGGGAATGTCACAGCTGACAAGTCATTGTGGAAAGTGAGACATTTTGTCAGGGGCTATAATACTTCACAGTGGACAGAGAGTTGCTCCCAAGGACTAAGGGTCAGCCCAGTGGGGGACCTTGAGTATTGAACCGGTGATCTCCCCACTCACAAGATTGACAGCTCTGCCAGCAAAAAACAGATTATGATGGACAGGCTGTGGCAGCTGTGAGAAGCAGCCCCACCAATTCTCTTCTACAGCCCCCGGGTTCATGTGTTGAGTCTGCCCCAGAGAAACAGCTAAAATGATACATGTTGACTTACCTGGTCTCCACAATAAGGTTGGTTCTCAGCTATCAAATTTAGTAAGTTGGGTTAAACCAGTGTTTCCCAATCAGAAATGATTTCGGTTTTCAGGGAACATTTGGCAATGTCTGGCAACATTTTTGAAGGTCACAATGGGAGTGCTCTTGGCATCTTATGGCTCGAGGCCAGAGATGCTGCTAAATGTCCTACAATGCACAGGTCAGCTCCCCCACAACAAAGAACTATCCAACCCAAAATGTCAACAGCACTGAGATGGAAGGACCCTAGCTTAAGCTGATGGTAGAAAAATTGGACAAGTGAGTTGTTTTTAAGAAATTCATTAATCATTTGGTTGACATGGTTGAACAGTAGCCCTGTAGAAACATAGCCCTAACCGTTTATCTGGGGAGGGGGCATGTAGCTTTATTATAATTTTTTGTTTTGTTTTTTAAGATTGCTGAGAGGGTGAAGCTATCAAAGACGAGGTCCGAATCCTCATCGTCTGATCGGCCAGTCCTGGGCTCAGAAATCAGTAGCATAGGGGTGAGTGTTTATGAGCAACAAGGCAAGAAAGTACCCGATAGAGCTGCACAGACAATGGCTTATAGATGTTAGAAAAACATCCAGAGTTTGCCTCCAGTAAACTAGTTAGTTATAATCATACTCAGATTCCTTCCCAAGGATCAAATTAAAATGTATAGTGATTTCCATCCACAAGGTGAATTACTTCTTCAGCTTTAAAGGAGTTTTTTTTTCTCTCTTTCTCTCTTCTTGAAACTATTCAGGGAAAAATGATTTAGGTCCAGTTCTTGGTGATATAGATGAAAGTCTGGAAGTATCTATCACCTATCATCCTGCTACCCCAAAGACTCAGACCTCTGAAGTCCCTGCAAGGGACTGTGCCCTCCACTGAGAATGACTGCTGCCTGTGAAGTGTAGCTCAATGTGGGAAAGACCAGAACCTTCCTGTTTAGTACGAAAGTTTTCATTGGTGGAGCCTAGAAGCCCCTGGAGCTATAAGAATAGATGGATGGTAAAAAACGGAATAATTTTGGTTCCTTAAGGGCTATCTTTTAGGATTGGGGATGAGGCTGGGTGAGCCAGCTGCTTGATCCTTAGCGGGGTAGGGAGAGCCTGAATAGCACTTTTAAGACCCTATTTAGAATTGTGCACTGAGCAAAAATTGCATGCATTCCGGTTCCATGCCAAAGTCAAATTGTGAAAATGAAGGAGTCAGCCCCAGTCCTTGGTTACAGTAGCCAGCGACAGTGACCTGGAGTGGCAGGGGATTCAGAACAGGGGAAAGAAGTCTTGACTCTGTTCAGCACTCAAGATTTTAGGGGCGCCAAAGAGGCATTGTCCCCTATTCTTGCTCCCAGCAGCACGTGCTTGAGGGACATGACTGTATTTTGATCCTGTTTTATGAACTGCTTTCATAGTAGTTAGCTTTTTATACTGGAATTATCTCTTACAAACTGAGAACCATCAAGGTCATCATCTCCTGGTGCCAGGTTCTTGAGGAATATCAGCTTTCTGTCATTTTACATGCAGAGCGTGTCTGGTCCCAACAGCATGCATGAAGCAACACCGCCCTAAGGGGAATTAATGCTCATTTGTACAGGTGTCCAGCAGCGTGGCGGAACACCTGGCCCACTCACTTCAGGACTGCTCCAACATCCAAGAGATTTTCCAGACACTCTACTCACATGGATCTGCCATCTCTGAAAGCAAGATCAGAGAGTTTGAGGTGGAGACAGAACGACTGAATAGGTAAGGAAAAAATCCTAGATATTTGATCAGGAGGCAGGGAGGAAGTGCTCTCCTCTCTCCTCTTTCCAAAGATCAATTCAAGGTGGCTGTGTCTTGTGACATAGAGCAATTACCCTCAGGCTAGTGGAGCTGGGAGTTTTCCCACCATGTCAGCTATGAGAGGAGTGCTCAGCTCACCTCGCCTCGGCCAGGCTGACGCTGCAGCTGTGTGACAGGGCTTCATGCTTGCTTTATTGCTCTGCTGTCACCATTTTAAATTCCTAATAATTTATGAACAGAGGGCTCCCCTTTCTCATTTTGCGCTGGAGTGAGTCCTGGGTGCAGTCTGCATAGAACAGCAAGTAGGTCATAGATGGCTGCCAAGCATGCAGGCCTGTGCTGCAGAGAACCACAGAGGGAAGTTCTGGAATGCTGAGTCAGCGTCCCAGGGGCGCCTGGAGCTACCAGGAAATCAGCAACGGGAATCTGGTTCAGACATTCCTGGCACTGACCAGGCTTGTGGGTCACACTCTCCCTGCTCTTCCTGATGCTCTTTGCACATGTACTCAATTCTGGGTCCCTACATGCTGTCCTCACTGTCCCATATACCCCGTTTTATGGCTTCTTTCCACGTCTTAAGAAAGAGACAGTTTGAGTTTTCACTCATGCCTGTGGGCAAAGACTGGCTTGTGTGTCATCCCAGTGATGAAGGGGTTGCTAAAAAATCAAACGAGAAGGACCAGGGAAACCACTCAGACTCAGCATGGCAGGATGGCTTGATGAATCGCATTCAAGCGTGGTGTGGCTGCCTCAATCTACCAATCTTTAGTGGGTGATCGTAGTAGGCATTTGAAAAGCTTATGAGTCAACTGGGAAGCAGTGTGGATACCATTTCCCATCCACGTGACTTCATTCTATTCCTCTTGTGGATGGCAAACCTGAATAAATTGAATTACCACGTCAGTCCTCCCTGATTTGCATCTGTTTAATATAGTTTTTGAGAACTAAGGAAATGGGAAATCTTGGTCATTTTCAATCTTGAAATTAAATGGTTTTCTTATTAAATCCAAAAATACTTAAGAGTGATAATTCTGATGATTACCTCACAGCAGTAAAGAAGCAGTCTTCTCAGTATCACTAGCCTGGGAGTGCTTAAAAATTGAATCAGATATGCCCTTTACAGTCTAATGAAGTCAGATGCCTTCGGGGACTCCTCTGTTTAGTGAGAATCTCCTGTCTACAGATTCTGGGATTTAATGAGCCTGCTTTGTTGCTGAACTTGGGAGAGGTTCCTTTCTTCTCAATTATATACACATAGGAGAGACTAAAGAGGGGGGAACTATCTGGTGCTTGTAGCTCATGTTAACATGATGTTTAACAGCTTACAAAGAGCTTTCACAGGCACCCACTTAATTCTCAATGTGTGAGGGCCAGGTAGTCCTGTTCGCAAATGAGAAAACAAAGTCTTCAAAGTTGCTACTTGAGTGACTTGACTTAAATCCACAGCTATTAAGTAGCGGAGGCAGAATTCCAACCCCTGGCCTTTGACCTCACCTCCACTGTCCTCTCTGTGACAATGGCTGCTGCTGTAACTCAGGGGTTCTTAGAAATAATCTGCCAGTGTGTCCTGATGTCTGTATTTACCTATCTCAAAGTTGGAGGCCTATTACTCTCAAAATATCTTAGCCTTTAATTTTGTGATCCCAGGAGCCAGGGGTGTCATCCCACTCAGAGAAATATTTCCTCATTTAACAAATCTGTGGTAAGCATCTACTGTGCGCTGGGCTGTTTGGCATGCAAAGCAAAGTGAAAAAAACAGGGTCTCTGCTGTCTTGGAGCTTATATTCTGTTAGGGGAGATAGACAGAAACAAACAAATAAGATTGTAAAATAGTCCGAGAAGGAAATAAACAGAATGGGAGCAGAGTTGCAGGGATGGTTATTTTCGATAGGAAGTCAGGGAAGGTGTCTGTGAAGAGGGGAGATTTATGTTGAGATTTTAAGGAAAAAAGGAGCAGCTATGTGACAAGCTAAGAATCTTGGACATCTTTGCAACTTCTCGGTTGGCACGAAGGTAGAACTGTCCTAAAGGCCAGTGAAACTGACATGAAGTGAATGGAAGAAGCTACACAAGGTGAGGTGGCCAAGAGCAGGGCCTGGCTTGGCTGTGGATTTGGAGGCCGTGGACAAATGTTAGTCTTTCTTCTCAGGGTCATTGGAAGTCATTAGAAGGTTATAACCGTGAGAAAAGCCCGATCTGATTTGTAGTTTGGAGACTCACTTGGGTGTGAAGACTGGAAAGGGAGGGCTAAGAGTAAGAGCAGAGGGATCATCATTGCCGTGGGCCATGGTGGGGCTGCAGGATGCTGGCCAGGACTAAGGGCAGGATTCATGCGGTGCTGAGAGCTGTGGAGATGGCAGCTGGGTTCCATCTGGCTGTGAGAGAAAAGGATGATCCCTAGGAAGATTCTTGGAAGTCTAGGGTGTGATGTAGGGTAGATGGTGGTGACACCCACTGAGTTAGAGAAAATGGGTGAGGACAAGGTTTGGGGAAAGAGTCCCGTTTTGGAATATTAAATTGGGGGTGGTGATGTGATACTCAAAAAGAAATGTCATCAACCTAGCTAACATGGCAAGATCTCGTCTCTACATATAATCAAAAATAGCTGGGTATGGTGGCGCATATCCGTAGTCTCAGCTACTTGAGAGGCTAGAGTGGAAGGATTGCCTGAGGCCAGGAGGTTGAGGCTGCAGTGAACCATGATAGTGCCACTGCATTCCAGTCTGGGTGACAGACTAAGACTCGGTCTCAAAAAAAAAAAAAGTGAGGCATCTGGATATGTGAGACTGGCCCTTAGAAGAAAGGTCTGGGCTGGAGAATTTGCCAGACATCAGAATATAAACGCCTATTCAAGTCACCAGCTAGATGAAATCACCCCTGTGGTGGGAGTGTTGACAGCAGAGGGGAGGCCGCACCTCGCAAAGGAGACAGAAGAAATGGTCTCCCAGGCAGAAGGAAAACCAGCAGAGACTCACCACGGCCCACATGAGGGGAGTGTTCAAGAAGGAAGGTGTGGTGATCAGTGGGGTGTTGCCTGAATAAAGGGTCAGATGAGTTTGACCACTCAGAGGTTTGTGAGTTGGGCAAAAGCTTCATCTAATGAGTAAGACCAAATGTGTACAGGAGCAAGCTGCAAAGTAAATGAGAGAGTGGGGGCTGTTTCAGGAAGTCTTTTTTTTTTTTCGGAGTGCAGTGGCATGATCATGGCTCACCGCAGTTTTCACCTCCTGGGCTCAGATGATCCTTCTACCTCAACCTCCCACATAACTGGGACTACAGATGCGTACCATCAAGCCCAGCTAATTTTTTTTTGTAGAGAAAAGTTCTGGCTATGTTGCCTTGGCTGGTCTCGAACGCTTGGGCTCAAGTAATCCTCCCGTCTCGGCCTCCCAAACTGCTGGGATTACAGGCATGAGCCACCACACTCAGTCCCTGTTTACTTACTGATTCATCTTTTATTTCTGCTCTGTAGTGTGTGGTTAAGAGCACAGGATCTTGGGTCAGACTGCCCGGTTCAAGTCAAGGTACTAAAAACCATGCTGTGCCTCCATTTTCTGCATCTGAGAAATGGGAATAGCACTTCAAAGGGCTACTGAGAGGATTACTGAGCAAAGGCTCAACAGATAGTAGCTATTGCGGCGATGCTGCATTTCATTTGTCCCGGTGAAGCATGACTTGTCGGGGCCCTCCTAGACGTCACTCATGACAGGGGACTCGAGGCCCCACAACTGTCCCTTTCCTGGGCATACCCCCAGAACCTAGCATAGTACCCTGCACCTGACATACATGGAACGCGCCTCCCTATGGCTGGGTGGGAAATAGCCAGAGGGTTTATTTTTTATTGCTCATGCATACCAAATTTGGTGATTTTTTTTTTTTTTTTAAATTTAGAATTGCATCCTTGATTATTTTGTCAGTTTCTAGTACATCTGGCAAACCTACATCCTAGCGTGCATTTCTGGCTTGAATATAAATGAGACAACTGAAATATTGGCAGGTTAATTATAATCCTACTGTGATCGTGGTATTTCTTCCTTTGCAGCCGTATTGAACACCTCAAGTCCCAAAATGACCTCCTGACCATTACGCTGGAGGAATGTAAAAGCAACGCCGAACGCATGAGCATGCTTGTGGGAAAATACGAATCCAACGCCACCGCGCTGAGGTTGGCCTTGCAGTACAGGTAGGGAAGCGGGAGCGGCGAGACACACCCTGGGACCTCCATAGCCAGTTGAACATGGAAAAGCATCCAGAGTGACCTTATGCATAAAAGTAGGACATGGGCTTCTAGAAGGCTTAATGGTGGAATTTAACCATCAGTTTTTTAAGGATAATGGATATATTAGTAAACAGGTATATTCCTGCTTACATATATAACTTGAATATTTCATTTACGTCACTCAAAATATCAATTTTTGTGTTACAAATTCATTTATTGGTCTCTCTGATTTTTATTCATAGTCATGTTTTACATGATTATAAATCTCGTGCGTTCTATTTCTTCAGTTTGTCATAGTGTTGAAACGTTGCTTATTGTTGTTGGCGTCTCACTCTGTCGCCCAGGCTGGAGTGCAGTGGCAGGGCCACAGCTCACCAAGCCCTGACCTCCTGGGCTCAGGTCATCCTTCTACCTGTTTCTCAAGTAGCTGGGACTACAGGTACATGCCACCATGCCTGATTAATTTTTTTTTAATTTTTTTGTAGAGATAAGGTCTCACTGTGTTGCCCAGAATGGTCTCAAACTCCTAGACTTAAGCAATCCTCCTGCCTTGGCCTTTCCAAGTGAGCCACTGTATTCAGCCGAAAGTGGTGCTTTTAATAGTCTCAGTTTGAATGGCTGTTACTCTGCATCAAGTTTATGTATTGTTATTTTATTTACTCATTTCTCTAAAAGACATTTATTAGACCTGTACAGATTTTTTATATTGAAAATAATTCCATAATGAATAATGCAGATAAGATCTTCATTCTTTTGAATGTTTTCCTTGGGATAAAACCCCTGAAGCAGGAATTAGAGATCCAAGGATATGAATATTTTCATGGCTCTTGAGTCATGCTGCCATTTTTTTTTCCTATGAAAACAAGCCAGTTTAAGTTACTACAGTTCATTCATTGGTGAACAAATGGTCATTTGAATGTACCACGTTTCTTCCTCCCTCATCAGCTTCAGAACTTAATCTCTTTTCAAATTACTGCTTGTTTAAAGCTGCAAGACTATGCTTTATTATTATCTTTGTAAGTTCATTATTATTAGTGTTGCCACTTAAGCATGCTTGCCAAGGTCTCACGGTAGTTGACTGTATCTTACCCTTAGCTTCCTCTAAGAAGTTGAATGGTGTTTTAAGAAACGTTGTTTATTCAAAAAACAATTAAACCAAAGTATATGAGATCAAAGTGAAGAAGCAGTCATGCTAGTTTCCAGACACACCAAGTCAAGCAGGTAATCCAGCTGTGATAACTCTTGAAACTGACTCCTATCCGCCCACAGTCTGCCTTTGCCTTTGGTCAAAAAGGTCTTTCTTCACACAAACACATCCTCGTGAGTGAAGAAATGCCGCAGCATCTCTAACCTGGAATATGACCTGCCCTTAAAAGGAGGAGCCAGCAGGTACCTACAGCTCATGATTTGGCCCCGTTCCTTAACTCTTAGTAAAAGATGATGAAAATACAGATAATCACCAGTAGATGACCTATTGATTAAATGTTGACTACAGCAATATTTCTCCTGCTCGACTTGGAGAAGCTAATAAGTTATTGGCTTAAGGAAGAAATTTGGCTGCTGCAGGCATCTTGTCTGGGACTGGGCAGGTGTCATGCCCATGTTCTGCCTCCTGAGTGGAGGTAGGCCTGTGTGGGTGTCAGGCTAGGGGCAAGGGACTGGTGTTTGATCTTTGATCTCGTTTGCCCAGTGGATGATGGACACGAAGAAGAGTGACTACATTTCTTCCTCCAGAAATCCAAACTCAGACTCTTGTCAGAGATTTTGTGAAGGCCTAAGAATGTTTCCTAAGACAGTTTCATAAGCATCTAATAGAACTCTTCGGTGGTGATGGAACTGTTCTCTCTCTGTGCTGCCTAGTATGGTACTACTGGCCCTGGGTGGCTGTTGAACATAGGAAGTATGGCTACTGCAGTGGAAGACTTGAGTTTTTCATTGTATTTGACTTAAAATTTTTTCAATGTAAATGGCCATACGTGGTTAGTGGCTATAGTCATATGAACGAGTTCCATTCTAAGAGTACGTTTGTAAGTCCAATTCATTTTAAGTTCAACAAAGTTAGCCTAAGTGGTATCCAACTAACACAATTGGCTGTATAGTACTGTATGCATTTAACAGGCTATACTGACACCTAGTGGAGAGAAATAATACATTTTAAAATGCAGGTGTGCACTGTTAAAGTTCATAACTTGAAGGTTCATATGTAGGGGACTTACCATATTGAGCAGTTCAGGTTTAGGTCAAAATTGTCTCCACATAGGGTGTTAGATTAGTTACCTGTTGTTGTATGACTAATTACTTATTGCCTCAAAGTTTTGAGGATCAGGAATCGAAGTGGCTTAGCTAGGTGCTTCTGGTTCAGGGTCTCTTAGGAGGTTCTGGCCAAGCTGTCAGTCAGGGCTGCATCATCAGAAACCTTAGCTGGGGTTGAAGAATCTGATTCTAAGAAGGTTCACTCACAGGGCTGTTGGCTGGAGGTCTAAGTTCTTTCCTGGTTATTGGATGAGAGTCTTTATTATTCCCCACAATGGCCTCTACCTAGACTCTACGTGAGAGTCTTCAAGACATGATGGTTGGCCTCCATTGAAGCGGGTGATCTGAGACAGAAAGTGAAGTGGGAAAGTGACCAGGATGAAAGTCACAGTGTTTTCTGGCAACCTAATCTTGGAAGCTACCTGCTGTCACTTCTGCCACGTTCTGTTAGTCGCACAGACCAACCATGACACACTGTGGATGGGGACAGTACAAAGGTGTGGACCCCAGGTGCGGAGCTCAGCAGGGCCACCTAGAGACTGACTACCACAAGAGAATCACATTTCCCTTTCACTGGTTGCTGAAGGGACAAAACTTGCCACTCCTACTTGTATTGTTTCTCTTGTGTGTTTTTTAAGAATGTAGTTTAAAGGGGCTTTTTTGTTTGTTTGTTTTTTAAAAGGCCAACATACATTATTCTAAACAAATTAACACAGAAACAGATAACTGAATAGCACATGTTCTCACAAGTGGGAACTAAACACTGGTTACACAGACATGAAGATGGGAACAACAGGCACTGGGGACTCCTAAGCGGGGAGGCAGGGAGGGGGGCAAGGATTGAGAAAACCACGCACTGGGTACCATGCTCACCACTGAGTTAGAAGCCCCAACCTCACCATCACACAGTATATCCCTATAACAAATTGGTATATGTACCCTCCAAATCTAAATTTTTTAATTTTAGGCCAGGCATGGTAGTTCATGCCTGTAATCCCAGCACTTTGGGAGGTCAAGGTGGGAGGATCGCTTGAGTTCAGGAGTTCGAGACCAGCCTGGGCAACATAATGAGACCTCATCTCTACAAAAACAAAAAACAAAAAAATTAGCCTGGTGTGATGGCAGGTGCCTGTAGTCCTAGCTACCCAGGAGGCTGAGGAGGAAGGATCACCTGAGCCCAGGAAGTTGAGGCTGCCATGAGCTGTGATCATGCCACTGCACGCTACCACTCCAGCCTGGATGACAGAGTGAGATCCTCACTCAAAAAATTAAAATAAATTTTTTTTATAAAAAGTCAACTTGGCTGGGCACAGTAGCTCAAGCCTGTAATCCCAGCATTTTGGGAAGCCAGGGTGAGAGGATTGCTTGAGCCCACGGGTTTGAGAACAGCCTAGGCAACTTGGCGAGACCTCATGTCTACAGTAACTCAAAATATTAGCCAGGCGTAGAAGCTTACCTATAGTTCCAGCTACTTGGAAGGCAGAGGCGGAAGGATCCCCGGAGCCCAGCAGGTCGCCGTTGGGGTAGCCCTGCGTGTGCCACGGCACTGTAGCTTGGGCGACAGAGTGAGACTCCAACTCACAAAAAGTAAAAATAAAAAAGACCAACTTAACAAGTCACTGGCCTTGTCCAGGGAATATTCATGGATGGCTTCCTTGCCCGTGTGCATAGTGAGACAGAGGCAGATCCTGAGCTGCTTCCTACACAGGATACAGTGTATCCTACTGGGGCTGAGGCCGTGTGTTTGTGTTTCAGCGAGCAGTGCATAGAAGCCTACGAACTCCTTCTGGCGCTGGCCGAGAGCGAGCAGAGCCTCATTCTGGGCCAATTCCGAGCAGCCGGAGTGGGGTCCTCCCCTGGTAAGTGTCTCCTGAGTCCCTCTTTCTCGTCTTGGGCCCCTGCCTCCTTTGCTCTAGGCCTTCATCTCATCTGCTTGCATCGGATCATCTCCAAACAACACGAAATTCAGTTGTCAAGCATGTTTTTCATTTCCCTTCATGACTGAGTGGGTAAATTGTTTATGTTGAATGCAGCAAGAACTGGAGTGGAAACGGAATTACGGACAAGTAAAAACAAACAAGCCCTCTTCGGAAGTGCATTCTGCCAGGCTGACAGATGGAGTGGGGGCCACGTCAGCAATGAAAGGGTACTGCTTGGCCACAGCCACCTCTGTGATGCTGGTTGTTGAGGGGCCCTCTGCTGCCCATGTGGCCTTGGCCCTGGTCTGATCTTGTTGCTTTATTGGCTGTACTACTTCTCCAAGTTTGTTTGAGTAGTTGTGAAGACCTGATTCCTCCTGCCAGGTGTCTTATGAATAAAGAGAAAATAATTTTACATTCCGCTCTTGTCAGTTTCCCAGAAGGCTAGCCCTGTGAGCCCCAGCCCTGACCCACCTCACCCCACTGCCGCCTTCCCTTCTCCCAGCCCAGGGCCATGTGGCCTGTTGATCTGACTTTTGTGACTCAAGATCCATATTGGCACATCTTTACCTCATCGAAAAAGATACATGCCTAATGTGTAGGTAACAACATTTGGTAAAACTTGGCCAGGAATTGTCTCTCTGAGCCCTGTAGTGCTGTGAGGATTGCAGTGGAAACAGTGCTTAGAGGAAAGAGAAAGCCAGGGAGAAAGGCTCCCTACGCAGAACTGAGCCCCGAACACTATTTTAGCCTTTGGAGAGGTAACAGCAAGTAAATAGAAGGCCAAAGTGACCATGTCACTGCAGAGCCAAAGATGGGTGGTGTGGACAGGCCAGGTGTCCCCCTTTGTGGTGACCCAACCTCTAACATGGACTGGCTTTCAGCTGTGAACTTCTACTAGGGCATCTCCTTTCAAGATGCACCCTGTAAGAAGGTCATTATCTGGGGCACCTTCCTAGCGAAACTTCCCGTCTCTTCCCCACCCCGCCCTTGCCTGGGGACCAGCTTTTGCACTGAACACTCATGGTGTTTCCTTCTTGGTTTTGCCATGTGCAGGAATCTGAGGCAAATCTGAAGGAAGGGACGTATCCTGGGCATTAATTTCCTGCTTCCTATCCAAGTTACCCAGCAAGAGAGCAAGTCTTCATTTGTATGGGTGACTCTGCTCCTCCCTCTGGGTTTTTTAAAAAATTTTTTAAATAATATTACCATCCCAGCTCAGGAATAGAAACTCTGCCAGCACTTCCATTAGAAACCTCATTTCTCAGGATCTTTTAACTGAACCATAAAACTTTATTCCTCATATGAAACAGATCCTAAAATGATCTTGGCCTACTGTCAGGTTTTTTAAATTAATATACATAGTAATAAAAATGATCAATTAAAGGGGAAAAATCAATCATCTCATTTCTAGTTTGTATTAGAGGAATGTCTTAACCTGTTCCATCCTCACCGAGTACCTTTTGTCAGGCTTGTACTTTCTCAGGGCAGCTGTCTGGTGTAAGAGCTAAAAGGGCTTGTGTGAATCTGCATCTAAAATATTTAAAATCAATAATGAAATGCTTTGTATCTACCTAATGCTGGGTAGCTCATGTATCTATTTGTAAGATGAGCTGGTCAGTAATGTCATGCCTACTTCAGAACAGAATTTGGGGAGCAGTATGTAGAGCATCTCATTTGTGGAGAGACAAGAGGCTGGAAGGTTGTCAAGAGAAATGGCTGGGGCGGGGTGAAGTCCAGGGACTCTTTGCCTGCAGTATGTCCCCACCCCATTTCCTGTGCACTCTCCAGAGTGCTGAGGCCTGGCTTGATTGTTAACAGCCCCTCCCACCATTAAACCTACCCCTCCAAGCCTGGCTCGGTGGCTCAGCCTGTAATCCCGCGCCTTTGGGAGACTGAGGTGAGTGGATTGCCTGAGCCCGCGGCTTCGAGATTCGCCTGGGCAACGAGACCTCATCTCTATATTATAGAGACAAGATCTCACTATGTTGTCTAGCCTGGTCTCAAACTCCTGGGCTCAAGCAATCCTCCTCCTGGCCTCCCAAAGTGCTGGGATTATAGGCGCGAGTCACTGTGTCCTGCCCTAGCACAGTTTTTTAAACACAAGAACATGAATATCTTGAGCAGGGACTTCACTGCTTGGTTCTGTGCTGGCACTCACCATACCTAATGTCCTGCTCCAGCCCAGTTAACTGGTTCCTGGAGGCATTTGAGTTCGCTGCCATTACCAAGCCGGGAGAAGGGTCGGGGTAGAATTGGTACAGAAAAAACTCAGAGCCAATCTCACATTCTCATCTGAATCATTGGTTTTGTGTCTCTTGTCCCCTACCCAATGCTCTATCCAAAGCTGTAGATATGTGAAGATATGGCACACTTTTGCCTCAGTTTCACCCTGTCACCATTCACAAAGAAGTGCCAGTGCACTGAAGAATGGTCAAACAATAGACTTGTGCTGAGTGGGAGGAGAAGCCAGGTGTCTAGATCATTAGAAAACTGTACGTGGCCGGGCTCTGTGCTCAGCCTGTAATCCCAGCGCTTTGGGAGGCTGAGGTGAGTGGATTGCCTGAGCCCGCGGGTTCAAGACCCACCTGGGCAACTTGGCAAGACCTCGTCTCTATAATAAATCAAAAAGCAACTGGGCGTGGTAGCGCACGCCTGTAGTTCCAGCTACTTGGAAGGCTGAGGTGGAAGGATTGCCAGAGCCCAGCAGGTCGAGGCTGTGGTGGCCAGGAGTGGCCACTGCACTCCAGTCTGGGTGACAGAGCGAGACTCCAACTCAAAAAAAAAGAAAAGAAAACTGTAGCATGTTAGAGCTGGAAACAGACCCTCACGATCCCATGGATCAGACCCTCCATTTGTCCATGAGGACAGTGGAGTCCACAGCAGAGAAATGCCTTCACACACATAGTTTCCAAGTCCTAAACTTCTAAAGCCCAGAGCAGGAATCTCCTCTTTGGCCGTTGCCAGCTCCGTCGCACCACCTCTGTCCTGAGTCACTGAGGGTTAGTTATGCAGAGTCACTTCCATGCTTATCTTATCCAGACCTGTGTTAATTAAACCACTCGCTTCTCTGCCACACAGGAGACCAGTCAGGGGATGAAAACATCACTCAGATGCTCAAGCGAGCTCATGACTGCCGGAAGACGGCCGAGAACGCTGCCAAGGCCCTGCTCATGAAGTTGGACGGCAGCTGCGGGGGAGCCTTTGCCGTGACTGGCTGCAGCGTGCAGCCCTGGGAAAGCCTCTCCTCCAACAGCCACACCAGGTAACGCTTGGCCTTCTGCCCCAAGGTGGACATGTGTCCTCTGGTCACTGGGCTGGCCCAGCTCTGACTGCCTCTTGGGGACTGTGTGGCTTGGTTAAGGGTGGAATTTGTTTCAGGCTTGCCCCATCCAAAATGAAGTCAGAGAATCAGAAGGCAGAGCTAGAAAGTGATCTTCTCGTTTTGCCAATGTGGAAACTGCCATCCAGAGAGGAGTAGCTTGATCTAGAAAGTGGTAGAGATGGAGGCTAGCCATGGTGTCTCACGCCTGTAATCCCAACACTTTGGGAGACCGAGGTGGGAGGATCGCATGAGCCCAGGAGTTCAAGACCAGCCTAGCAGGCAACATAATAATATCTTGTCACTGCAAAAAAAATTAAAAATAATTACCCAGGCGTGGTGGTGTATACCTGTAGTCCCAGCTACCTGGGAGGCTGAGGTGGAAGGTTGCCTGATCCCAGAAGGTTGAGGCTGTGGTGAACCTTGATTGTGCCACGGCACTCTAGCCTGGGCAACAGAGCAAGACCCCAACTCAAAAAAATGGTAGAGATGAAATGCAAGCCTACCTTTTCATCTGGTGCTTTTTCTGTTATTTGCTCTCCATTTATTTATTATTCTTAATTTTCAGGAAGCATTCGGGGTAGGCAGGACCCACTCGCAAATGGTTCCTCAGCACTCAAGGCCTAGTTCAGCCCGGGCTAGCTCCCAATGCCACTCTTCCTTACTCCTGTGCCTCTGTGCTCTGTAAGCTCTCTGCAGGCAATAGCCTCTTCTCCACCCTTTTTTGCCCTGTAGAGTGATGCCACATTCACAGCTCATGCTTAGCAGGTACTCAGTCATGAACCTCAGGTCAAACTCCCTGTCTGTGAATCTAGAAACCTAAAGTGGGTGCTTGAAAAATAATGAGGAGGAGATAAGCAAAGACCTTGCTGAGCATAGTTTGCCGATGTTGTTTGTTTCTTTGGCGGGGTATGGGGAGTCGGGATGAAACCCTTTCTAGTTATCTTCTCATTTATTGCCACCAAAGCCCTAAAAACATGAATGTTCTCCCTTTATGTACTAGTTTTCAGTCGAGAAATTACTTTGCTCAAGGTTCTTATGTGACTGCCAAATCATGAAAGACTAGAAAGGATTACTGACCCCGTGTTCACAGGCAAGAAAGCCTTGGCTCAGAGATGTGTAAGTGACCTGCCTAAGGCCACATGCCTGATCCCAATTAGATCTGGACTCAAACGCAGGACTTTAGCACCAAGTGTGTTGTTCTTCTCACTATATATCACTCATGACATTACAAAACAGTGTCTACATGCAGAACAAGTGTCAAGAACCCCAATAGAATAGACTGAGGCTGGGCACAGTGGCTCACACCTGTGATCCCAGCACTTTGGGAGGCCAAAGTGAGAGCATTGCTTGAGCCCCAAGAGTTCGAGACCAGTCTAGGTAAAATAGTAAGACTTTGTCTCTACAAAAAATTTTTAAAAAGACATTAGCCAGGCAAGGTGGCACGTACCTGTAGTCTTAACTACTCATGAGACTGAAGTGAAAGGATTACCTGAGCCCAGGAGGTAGAGGCTGCAGTGAGCCTTGATTGTGCCACTGCACTCCAGCCTAGGCAACAGAGTGAAAACCCCAACTTTTTTTTTTTTAAAGAATACATTGAAAGAAGAAACACTGATGTTTTCTTGGTACATGAGGGCAGTTTAATGTTCCCATCTCTCTTTCACCCAGCAGGACCCAGCCATCTGCCTCATTGTATTCATTTACCTGTATGGTCCAAGTGTCCCAGGAGAGGGGCCAGTCCTGATAATGCACTTGGCCAGGTGCCCACAAACTCAAGGGACTTATTTCCTCTTGACTGCAGCAACAATTGTCTTATTCAGTGAAACACAGATTATAATTTTTTTTTTCTTCAAACCAGATTCTTCTGTTTACATGTAGAAAGCAGATACTCATCTTAGTGACTTTTCCAGATGTGTATAATCTGTCATTTCTGTGTCCACTTAGTATAAAAATGTAGTTCTCATGCTGTCAGTGATGCTCTTCTGTCGAACTGGTGAGCACAAGAGTTGAACTGACAGGAAATGTGTGCTGTTTCAGGTTGGTGCTACAGACCATTTGCTCACATCTCCCTGCCCCCCAAAATCATTTTGTTGTTTTATTCTATATCAAGGGACAAATTTGGAATCAGTCATGAGTGGGGACTATTTTCTCACCGTCTGTTTAGTAGCGATCCTGGTTTTTGGATATTTGTTAGAAATACCTTAGCTTACAGGTGAGCCTTGAATTTGAGACCATTTTCTTAGAGAAATTTAATTTTGAGGACTGTCTTTCAGCAGGTTGAGGTCATTTCAGAACATGGATCATTATTTTCAAGGGTGACCTCACTGAGAGTGGTCCTTGAACTAATTCCAGTCTCAAATGGATCTTCCCATCAAAGTACAGAGGCCTGTAACTCTCACTCCACTGAAGTCTCCTTTAAAAAGATCACTTAAAGACTCAAATCTCTTTAAAAAGTTCGCTTTTACCCTCCAAATTTGCTCTGATTTCACTCGTTTCTCCTTAAAATTTCACATTTACCTTCCCTGCCAGATCAGAGCAGCTAGAGTGAATACAAAGGAACCACACACAGAGCATTCATTTGTCGCTCCACATTCTTAGAATCTGATTCAATTAGACCACTTTATGGTAAACATGGTTTCACAATAAAGTCCCAAACCACCAAACCTCTTTCATAGTTATAATAACCACAGTAATTTTGTTTGTAAATCTTGCCATTCTGGCTCAGATATTCCCCTATGTCAAGTTTGTGGGGAGAGGGGATGGAGAAACAAAAAAGAACTTTCTGAGTTGGAGTTTACGTGGCCCAGCAAACCCTCCTGCCTCCCCTGTAAACACCTGGCATGGAGAATTCCAGTCAGTCAGCTGTTCCTTAAGGCCTCAGGAAAGGCATGCTGAGTATCAGGCCTCCAGAGGCATTTCTGCAGCACCTAGGCAGCTCCTGATGACAGGAGGGTTGATGGTTTTAGAAAGGAGCAGCAGAGGGATAGAGTAGTTAGCCAGCAAGGAGAATAAAAACATTACCCAACTCCCAGTCGACTGTTGGCAGCAGCCCAGGACATTGCCCTTTCATTTCTGAAAAACATGGCCACAGCCTCATCAGAAAATATAATTGTCTTAATGGACAGGGTAACTGAGTTGATTGCCTAGATAGCTTTATCAACATATCACGACAAAGAAGCAAATTGGCTAAATTGTTGGGAAATGGAAATAGGAATTCTTCATCAAGCCCACCCTTTGCGTCAGGCACCACGATTCCAGCTCATTCTGTGGAAGTGCAGTCATCCATCTAAATCCACAGAAGAACTGTGGCCAAGACAGGATACACACAGCAAGTCTGTTCTCACAGAGACTGGAATTGCCTCCCTTTTCTCTCAGCGTCAGGTGGGGATGAAGAGATCCCTCTGAGAATGGTGACTGTAGCCTTGTGTGAGCCTCTGCATACCTTCGGGGAGCTGGAATACCACTTGACTGGTCACTCACCCTGGGGCATAATCCTCAGATTGGAATGGCGGGCAGTGGAGCTCCAGAGATGCCCAACCCTCGCCCTCTACACTAGTCTAGATTAAGATAAAGTTTCCTTGGGGCAGAAAAAAAAAGGTTGAGGAAAGCAGAATCTTGTTCCCTGAAAGGGTGAATGGATTAAAACAGCCATGCAGTTAGGACAGGCCTGTGCCACCACCAGCAGCAAGCTGCGGATGAGAGAGTCAGACCAGATCTGGCTGTTGTAACAGTCATCTCTACTGAAAAAGAGATGTGCTTCTCTAACCTGGCATCAGCAGAGGCCAATCAAAGTCCTTGGGGCCATGTGTCGTGGCTAATGCCTATAATCTCAGTACTTTGGGAGGCCAGGGATTGGAGGATCACTTGAGCCCAGGAGTCTGAGACCATGGACAGCATAGTAATACCTTGTCTCTACAAAAAAAGAAAATAATAATAATAAAATAAAAACTACAAAGTCCTTAGAATGAATGCTTATTAGTGTTAGGGAATTCTAGAGACCAGCCCAGACATAGCCCTCGACATGACTGCGTGGTCTCTGCTTAAGTGCCCTTGTCATTTATCCTTAGGTTCTATGAGAACAGAGAGAGACCTGCTGTGTATGCTTTATTTAGTTATTTATTTATTTGTTTGTTTTCTTAGTTTTAGTCTCACTCTGTCACCCATGCTAGAGTGCAGTGGCACACTCATGGTCACCACAGCCTCAACCTGCTGGGCTCTGGCAATCCTTCTGCCTCAGCTTTCCAAGTAGCTGGAACTGCAGACGTGCACTACCACACCTGGCTAATTTTTTATTTGTTGTAGAGATGAGGTCTCACCAACTTGCCTGGGAGGGTCTCGAACCCACAGGCTCAGGTAATCCACTAGCCTCTGCCTCCCAAAGTGCTGGGATTACAGGCTGAGCCACCGAGCCCAGCCTGCTTTTTTAATTTTAGATCTAACTTCCTGATTTCAAAAGAACTATATGCATATTGTAAAAACAAGTAATTAAAATGCCAGCATTACAAAATACGTATTACACAAAAGTTCTCTATGCTAGGACCCTGACTAGAAAGGACACTGGGAACAATTTGGGGTATATTCCCAAAAGCACAGATTTTACTGAATATTCTCCTTGGCATTATATTTTTACACATCTTCCTATATGTGTCATTCTGTCCTAGAGTAACGTAGTTTTCCATTGTATGGCAACACCATCATATATTTAAATTGTCCCCTCTTGTCAGACATTTATATCCAGTTTTACACTATTATAACATTGCTGCAGCTACCATCCCTGTCCTGATACTCATCCTTTTTGTGCAGTATCTGTGAGATTAGTTCTAAGAAGCAGAATTGAGGCTCAAACATGATTAATGTTTCAAATGTCAAACAGCCCCCCCCATACATAATCCAATTATCTACAGCCGGTGTATGAGAGGGACTCCTCTTCCACATCTCTGCTC